TAACAACTTCTACTCACATAGCAAAAGTAATTGTGCAAGAAAGTTTGTGAAAATTGAAAAGGGTTTCCAAGTTACTTTGGGGCTCTAGAGGCTAGGGTTTTGAACTTTTAAGGGTTATATCTTGCTCATCTTTTTAGATTTTTAAGTGATTCCAAAGACATGATTCTATTTAAAGGGTAATTAATTAATCACTTCAAGAATTTCAATGAAATTTTGTGTGGAAGATGCCTAATGATTGAGAAAGATTACAAGTCCTCTAGATAGGCCATCAAATTCTCTTATGTGACTTCAAAAGATCATAACTTGGTCAATTTTTATCTCCTTAAGCCCATTCTTTTTCGACAATTATCATGAGGATGTTAACTTTAACTCTTCTTTTATATGCAAAGCTTGAAAATGGGTGGAAGATGCCTTAAGAACTCAAAAGATTATAGGTCACCTCATGAATTTTCACCAATTTCACAAAGCCATAACATTTTCAATGCTTGGTATTTTTTGGTGATTCAAGTTTCACAATGCTCTTTGGGAAGTCTACTTCAATATAGAATCAATGATCAAAGCTCAATTTTGGAGGAAGGCCTTGTTTGAACTCAAAACATTATAGGCCACATTTGAAGAAAAACATAGAATTTTTTTAACTACAAAAAGTCAATATCTTTTTCTCAACTTTGACTCATCACAACTTTTAGCTCAAACATCCATCTGATCTCATTCTTGGCACATTGCAAATATTGTAACCTTATCTTTCAAAAGCTTTAAGAATCATGCCCTAAGACCCCTTGAGCTGTGAACACCATAGATTCAAAGACGGTACCTTGAAACTGAAGTTTCATTCCAAGTTAGAATTTGAAATTCATAATGTGGCTTATAAACACCAAATTTGGACACGTTTTTTATTTAAACATGTTTAAAAAAGTTCTCAAAGTTGAATTAAGGATCAAAATGCAGGAATTGACTGAGTTTTGATGCACATGGGGTCACACTTTTTTCATTTTCGAGCTTGATCCAATTTCCATCCAAACATCAAATTTCCTCTTAATTCTTTGCACCATTCACTTCCCTATAAATAGAGGACCTCACTCCTCTCATTTTGTCAAGCGTGAACAGTTAAAATCACTCTGTCAAACTCCCTCCATAACTCACTTTTCTGAGATTTCAAAATCCTCTTTTCTCCACTTTTCAATCCAATTTCTTCATTGATCCTTCATCCTTGAACTTCACTGAAGATAACAGAAGAAGAATCAAGCCTTAAGGTGCCCTGAATCGTGCTATGCAAGTCCATTTATAGAGCAAGTTCATATGACTTCATTCAGGTAGTTTAAGGCACCAAATCTTCTAGCTCAAATTACTGGAATGGTTTATGATGTTCACTGATGCTTTCTATTAACTCAATTTTTATGACTCAATGCGTTTGATACATCTGTTTTTGATTTCAAATTTTTCAAAACATCTCTGATTTTTTTCAATTCGAGTAAGCTGTGTTTTATATAAGTTTGGCGCGAGGATATGGTTATGATCGTCTTGAAGAGACGCGTCTGATGATACCACTATGAGCGTCTAAATTTACAGATTTACAAATCATGGTTTCACCCTAGTTGCAGGGTAGCTGGAGGTTGAAGATGACCTGCGTGGCCTCTCCAACCAATGAGAGCAAGACATTTGAAATGTTGTGATTGGTCTGACTTTCGTGACTTCAGTGCGCGCTTGTTGACCGTGGATCACCATACATCATCATTTTTAAGAAATCAGATGTGCCATCATGTTTTAATGAACTAGATCCAATGCCTCACATTATTTCTGAGTTATTTATTTTTACAAAATTTGTTTTAAATTTGTTTTAATTTCAAAAATTCATAACTCTCTTATTTTTTATCCAAAAATTATGAAAAAATATACAAAAATACTTTGAATTATTTCTGACTTTGTGAATATTTTTCATATTTTTATTTTAATGTTTAACATTTTTCATAATTTTTGTTTTGTTTGCCTTATTTTAATTGTTTTAAAAATACTTTTTGATATTTTTTAAATTGTAAAAAAATTTATAAAAATCATTTTCCTTATTTCTGAGTTTTAGAAATTTTTTCTAGAATTTTATTTTGACTTCTATTATTTTTGATCTTTTTTTACTTATTTGAGTGATTTTAATTAGTTTAAAAATGCTTTGCTGTTTTAAAAAATTACCAAAAATTTTATAAAAATAATTGAGATCACTTCTAGTTTTTCTATGGTCTCTTTAAATCTTTCTTTGATACTTTGAATATAATTTTCTATTTTACCTTTTATTTTCATTTTAAAAACAATTCAAAAAATCATTTTTCCTTTTTATTTTATTCATTAAATGCAATTTATTTTAATATATTCTGGTTATGTGATTGTTGATCATGAACTTCATTAACATCATTGGATCCTGGGTGTTGAGTTTAACTCCACCAAAATGGATGGATGATTTTAATGATAGTTTGATTAAAAGTTTTTATTCAAATATTTTCCCTCCCTCTTCATCTTATCCTTTTCTTACATGTGCTACATGTTGTTAGAGGATGATCTACATATCATCTCTCCAAACATATGGCACATAGATTGTTATTGACCTGCTTCAAAATAGGTGCGGATTCTATATAAGTCCACTTATGATTGCTTAACATAGCATTAAATTTTGTCCATATTCGTGAAATGATCATTCGTGACCCAAACCTATATTTCCAAACCTAAGTATATTTAATTTAAAATCTTTGATCCAATAACCTTGAGATTCATTGTTAGGAGGCTTTGGTATTATCAATCCTCTAATGAATCTTCATAAATTTTGGACTAAGTGAATCATGTAAACATCGTTGATCATTTGTTGTTGCCTCGAGATTTTGAAATGAATGATATACTTGAAAAAAAGCAAATAAAACTTATTGTTGAGAGACTTTGATTTTATCAATCTTCTAATGAGTTTTCAAATGTAAGATTCAAGAAGGTCATTCAACTAACCTATAATTTCTAACCCATTAATAATTGACTTTATTTTCATGCTTTTACTTTATGCCTTTACTTTTACGTATCATTTATTTTAGCACTTATATTTCATGTTATTTTCATCTTTACTCACTTAAGCATTTATCTTTATGTCATTTTCATTTTGATCACTTGAGTTTTTCATTTTCTTTTTGAAGACACCTAATAATCAACTTGAACAATAAAATACTTTAATGTCACTTGGACTATTTGGTTACTATCCTTGGCTTGATGGAGTTATGGACTTCTTAGACTTAGGAGTAGAGACCTTGACCTACCTTAAGACCTTGTGACTTCCTTTGTAATTTTGTCTGGAGTTCTTGGGATTTATCCCAAGATATTGGGTTGTTTGTTTTCTTTGTGTAGAGGTTATTCTGATTATGTGCTTTGTCTGTGAGTGGGAATTCATTTATATACAGCTGTTACTCTGCCCAATTTTTATGAAGACATAATGCATTTGAAGTTTGGTATTCTTAAGAGGTTCATTATCTTTGCTTGTTTGGTTTCAATCCAAAGGATGGGAGTTCTGCATTGACTCATTATGTCAAGTGTTGGCTTCTTGTTGGTTAGATGGTTCTTTTCCCTAGATTTTACCTTATGCTTTAGGATAGTCCCTTCATCTCCTCCCATTTTCTTTAATTTCAAAAATCTTCTCACTCATTTTCAAAACTATTCTTGTTTTCTAACCTTGAACCGCTTTCATAATAAACTTGGACTTAGGTCTATGCATTTTCAAAAATATTTTATCAATCAAACTTTAACCAACTTAATCAAACCATTTTTCCACTTTGGCTTCTTACCTTAAAACTTTTCTCAAAATATTAGACTCTTGTCAATCCTTGTAGTGATGCGAGCTACTATACTTCTACGATATATAATGAAGTGAGATATTTTCCACTCGCGTGTTGAGTGAGGCTTTGTTGATTTTAAAATCCAAGCCATATCTTCCACTCTGAGATGACACAAATTCTCCTTTCTCATACTCGTGGGTAGTAAGTATGTTCTTCAACTCGGATAAGACAATGATGTCTCGTCTCTTAAAATTAACCAACAAATTTGTGTTTTAAAATTTTAAAGGTGAACTACGAGTACCCTGATCCCTTATTGCACGGAAGGTGGTACGTAAGCACTAAAGGTTCGCAACTACGGCGGGTGCAAAAATTGTAAAAAAAAAAAATTCTCACCTCCACCATCTACTTTTTGTATACAACTCTTATAGCCAAAATACACAAATTTTCAAAGAGGTTCTTGCGGAGTACCGTAGATATTTAGGGTGCTAATACCTTCCCTTTGCATAACCAACCCCCGAACTTAGATTCTCTCACTCTCTTTTTGGGTTATTCGCTCTTTTCCCATTCCTTTGGAAACAATAAAGCGCAATGGCGATTTTTATTTGATCTGTGTGAGTCAAGTCAATCCAATGGCTTAGTCTCAACATTTCTACCGCTACACCTACGTCCATGTCTATGTCTACGTATACGTCTATGTCTATATCCACGTCTACGTTCATAACTACGTACATGCATATGCCTACGCCTTCGATACAAATATCAAAATCTTGCTAATACTCTTTCATCTTGTTCTAATCAATTCAAAATACCGCGACGATGCAACATATAACATTGGAGAGTTGGTAACATAAAACTAATGGTTTAAAAGGAGAGAACACAAAAAAAAATTCACAACCAGCATTTGGAGCATATCCCAAGATATGAACTATCAAACTAATTTTTTCCGATCTCATAGTGACTTTCAAAATTTGAACTCGGGGAAGATGATTGACATTGCTAAGGAGAGTGAAGGTGTAATACCCTACTAATATGTATCTAGAATCATATCAGTAAAATATTATTAAGCTGGTACTGAGTACAAACTGATAAATGGCATTCCCTTATACATACATAACAAAAACATCACTATTACGTATACAACATGAATGTCTAAAATAAAAACTCTAAAGAATAAGAACAATGGAAGATGATCAGGTGCGATTTTTATGCAATCTGGTCACAAAGCTTCTGATCCAAGCTTTCTAGCGAAACCTCGATCTTGCATAATACCTAAAAAATAATAAAAAGATGGGGTGAGATTACTAAATCTCAATGAGCCCATCTATCTTATAGGTCCAATCGGCTCTACATGGTAAATTATCATTATCTCATCGTGTTAGTAATCATGTATATACTATTTCATGGGTCTTAAGGAACGAGGTGTGATATGCTTTACAATAACGTATAAGCTAATAGCTTAAATGTATGAGTCACGTAGAACAATAAGAGCTACAGATATATCACATTGAATCCTTTGATGAACCTTTAGCCCAACTAGTGTTTCGAACGTCGTTGATGATTGACGACCCGATGCCCATCATGGCAAAGTTTTACGAAAGTTTTTGCCTCCTTCTAATATGACTAAGTCCTGTAAGGTGCTTTCTGGGAATTATTTGCCGCCTTTTCTCAGGACTAGCCTAGCAAGGCAGTATCTAGAGTTCTCTTACCTTCCATCTAATGGATTAACATGATATAGCATCACTACAACATCATTATTTAGGCTTGGAATCACACTCAAAAGGGAATGACAATCACCAATACATTTCACTCTAATCAAGTGGCAAATTCATGGATTCATGTGCAACCTTCAAGTAATTTATTCAATGCATAGATTAGTATCACAATATAACCACACAACTCACATGTCATATGCATGTTTAGAAAGAATAAGTGACAAGGCGTATCATCACACATTTAGGACATATAAGCACATCATTATCATAAGAGAATCATATGCAAACAATGGTTCGTACTCAAGCAAAGAGGTTCAAAAAATAATCCCTAATCCCTTCAGCATATCAAACCAAACTCATAAATTATTTCCCAAGTAACCATCTAATGGAACCCACCCGGTATGGCACTCCGATTCGGCTTCCCAATCTCTTATGCTGGTGAAATCCCCAAATCCCGTATGCATATTTTTCTGCATAAATCTGCATCAGACCTTCATCTTCAAACACATATTATGACCTTATAACAGACCCCACACACATAAAATTATATACCAAAATGAAGGAAATTTTGTCTAGTTTCTGAAAATTCAAGAATTGTTTCATTCATAGTTACGAGATGAAAGTTATGACTTACTTATTGGAGGTATGTCCATACAAATTTATGCAGAAAAATTCCTTTTTCAATCCTCCAAGCTCGAACTTTCAATCCTTTTCTCCATTTCAACACCAGTTCCATAGCTCTCCCAATGACTCCAAATCACAACAAATATGTAAATGCAAATCCAAAAGAGTGAGGGCTTATGAATGGGTTTAGGGTTTACTCGAAAGAGAAAAAGAAAATAAACTATTCTCACCAAATACTAACCTTCCATGTTGATGAATATGAGTTACAAGTGTAGATAATGGTGAGATTGGACCCTTTTCTCCTTCCTCTCTTCCTCTCAAGTTTCATTCTCTCTCTATTTTCCTCATCTTCTCTCAAAAATCTGAATTGGAATGTTTAGAAAAATGAGAAGAATGAGAGAAAAAAGCTCCAATTTCAACTTAATATGTCTTTGTGAAATCACCACCTTACTCTTATAATTTGTAGCTTAATTACTAATATGCCACCAATTAGTAGAATTTTAAGATTAATGACTTAATCTCATCACTTAACTAAAACCTCTAATCCAAGCCATCTTCATTGACCAAGTCATAACTTCCTAAGTATATCACTTCCATATTATCAAGACAATTTCTTACCACATTTTTAAATAACTCACTTAATTCAATTATTATTGATTGTCATCTCTTAGTTAATTAGCACTTTTATCCAAAACACTTATCCTTAATTAAGTTCCCCTAACCTCTTAACGTCAAATTACCATATAATTTGATACTATCTCTTGATTTGGATTTTAAAGCTTAAAATTGCTAATTAAAATCCTTAAGTAATTTGTTAATGGATCTTATTTAAGCTTAGATAAAGTTGGGTTATTACATAAGGACTCTACTACCTTGGCGTTGGATCTATGTCACAACTACCTTAAAAAACAATAAGTTCCCACTTTGAGTCTTTTTCTATTTTGAATAATAAAGATGGCAACATTATGATATGACATTTAAGATTAGGTCATCCTTGTTTTCATTACTTAAAACACCTATTTCCTAAGTTATTTCATAATAAGAACTTTTCTTCGTTTAAATGTGAAGTATGTGAGTTTGCAAAACATCGTCGTTCACAATTTTCAATACAACTTTATAAACCATCAAAACCTTTTTCTATTATTCACAATGATGTTTATGGACTTAACCGTACAAGTACACTCTCTCAAAAAAAAAAGTTTATCACATTTATAGATGAACATACAAGAGTATGTTGGGTGTAGTTGTTAAAGGGAAAATCAAATGTTATTCAAGCTGTAAAGAATTTTTTTACAATAGAGAAAAACCAATTTCAAACAAATATTCAAGTCTTTAGAAGTGATAATGACAAAGAATATTTTAACACTATCCTGGATGAGTTTTTTTTCTAAAAAATTGGGTTGTACATCAAAGTTCATGTCCTAATACTCCTCAACAAAATGGAGTTGCTGAAAGGCAGACAGTCCTAATACTCCCCAATTTTTTAGAAAAAAAACTCATCTAGGATAGTGTTAAAATATTCTTTGTCATTATCACTTCTAAAGACTTGAATATTTGTTTGAAATTGGTTTTTCTCTATTGTAAAAAAATTCTTTACAGCTTGAATAACATTTGATTTTCCCTTTAACAACTACACCCAACATACTCTTGTATGTTCATCTATAAATGTGATAAACTTTTTTTTTTTGAGAGAGTGTACTTGTACGGTTAAGTCCATAAACATCATTGTGAATAATAGAAAAAGGTTTTGATGGTTTATAAAGTTGTATTGAAAATTGTGAACGACGATGTTTTGCAAACTCACATACTTCACATTTAAACGAAGAAAAGTTCTTATTATGAAATAACTTAGGAAATAGGTGTTTTAAGTAATGAAAACAAGGATGACCTAATCTTAAATGTCATATCATAATGTTGCCATCTTTATTATTCAAAATAGAAAAAGACTCAAAGTGGGAACTTATTGTTTTTTAAGGTAGTTGTGACATAGATCCAACGCCAAGGTAGTAGAGTCCTTATGTAATAACCCAACTTTATCTAAGCTTAAATAAGATCCATTAACAAATTACTTAAGGATTTTAATTAGCAATTTTAAGCTTTAAAATCCAAATCAAGAGATAGTATCAAATTATATGGTAATTTGACGTTAAGAGGTTAGGGGAACTTAATTAAGGATAAGTGTTTTGGATAAAAGTGCTAATTAGCTAAGAGATGACAATCAATAATAATTGAATTAAGTGAGTTATTTAAAAATGTGGTAAGAAATTGTCTTGATAATATGGAAGTGATATACTTAGGAAGTTATGACTTGGTCAATGAAGATGGCTTGGATTAGAGGTTTTAGTTAAGTGATGAGATTAAGTCATTAATCTTAAAATTCTACTAATTGGTGGCATATTAGTAATTAAGCTACAAATTATAAGAGTAAGGTGGTGATTTCACAAAGACATATTAAGTTGAAATTGGAGCTTTTTTCTCTCATTCTTCTCATTTTTCTAAACATTCCAATTCAGATTTTTGAGAGAAGATGAGGAAAATAGAGAGAGAATGAAACTTGAGAGGAAGAGAGGAAGGAGAAAAGGGTCCAATCTCACCATTATCTACACTTGTAACTCATATTCATCAACATGGAAGGTTAGTATTTGGTGAGAATAGTTTATTTTCTTTTTCTCTTTCGAGTAAACCCTAAACCCATTCATAAGCCCTCACTCTTTTGGATTTGCATTTACATATTGGAGGTTGCTAGAGTTTTGCTTTTTTCAAATAAAGTAGCAAACTATTTGTGGGGAGAAGCTGCTTTAACAACTACATATTTAATTAATAGAATTCCATCCAAAATTCTCAATTTTCAAGCTCCAATTAATACCTTCAAAGAATGTTTTCCTAGTACTCGTGTTTTAACTGATCTGGCATTAAAATTTTTGGGTTGCACAACTTTTGTTCATGAAGATAAAAATGTAGGAAAACTTGAACCACGTGCTATAAAATATGTTTTTGTTGGATACTCCCCAACCCAAATAGGATATAAATCTTTTGATTAAGAAAAATAAATGTTTGTCACTATGGACGTTACATTCTTTGAAAATAAACCTTATTTTGATGATACTCATCTTCACGGGGGGATATAAACGAAGGCTTGTTTCAAATCGCGGACATGAGTTTTATAAATACTTTATCTTTGTCTGTATCACAAAGTTCTGAGACTTATACTTCTGCACCAACACAAAATGGCCATGATTCTTTATCTGATCCTACTCCTATTATGAGTAAGGAACTTTGTAAATCCGAGCTTACATTTTCTCATGTAGAAAATAACGAGAATCCTAAAAACGATGATAATGATGATTTAATTGAAATGCCACAAAATAATGAGTCACTACAAGAAAAAAATTAATTAGGAAACAGGACTTGGAAAGGGATGGTTTTATGAAAAAGTACCACAAAGGAAGGGATGTTCCCACATCTCAAGATTGTCACGAATATGAATTAGAGAATGATCAACCTCCTAAGAATATGAAAGGTAAGTCCATCTCTATTTCTGAAAGTCGTATTTTGTATCCTGATAAAGATGAACTTGTTACCATTAGAAAACCAGTTAGATATTGTACTAAACACTCCATGTCCAATTTTATATCATATTCAAATTTGTGTTCATATCTGTTTGCCTTCACCTCGAAATTGTCTAATGTAGAAATTCCAAAAAAAATGTACAGGTTGCTCTAGAAATTCCAAAGTGGAGAGAATTTGTACTTGAGGGGATGAAAGCCCTAGAAAAGAAAAAAATACTTGGAGTGTTACAACACTACTGGATGGCAAGAAGATAGTTGGATGCAAATGGGTGTTTACTATGAGGTATAATTCATATGGGTCAATTGAAAGGTACAAGGCTCACTTTGTGGCTAAAGGCTTTACTCATACCTACGATATAGACTACTCAGATACATTTGCTCCTGTTGCAAAACTGAACACTATCAGAATTCTTTCATCTCTTGCTGCTAACCTGGATTTCCCCCTACATATGTTAGATGTTAAGAATGTCTTTCTTAATGCAATCTAGAAGAAAAAGTATACATGGACTTTCCTCATGGATTTGAAAACAAATTTGGATCAAATGTATGCAAACTAAATAAGTCTTGTATGGATTAAAGCAGACCCCTAGAGCTTGGTTTGAAAAATTCACTCAGTCTATAAAGAAACATGGGTACATTCAAGGATAAGCTGGTCACACCTTGTTCACAAAGTTCTCCCACGATGAGAAATTTGTTGCCCTGATTGTTTATGTTGATGACATTGTCCTTACTGGAGACGATACAGTTGAAATGGCAAGAGTAAAAGAGAAATTAGCAGTAGACTTTAAAATCAAGGACTTAGGATCCATGAGATATTTTATTGGTATGAAAGTTGCTCGATCAAAGAATGTTATTATGGTTTCACAGCAGAAATACATTCTAGACTTATTGAAAGAAATATGACTGAGTGGATGTCGTCCTGAAGATACCCCTATGGATCATAATGCTAAACTTTGGGGAGAAGGTAATATTCATGTTGATACTTGAAGATATCATAGATTGGTTAGAAAACTAATTTATTTGTCACACACCCGGCCTGATATTGCTTTCTTAGTTAGTGTAGTAAGTTAATTTATGCATTCTCCTTACGAGGAACATCTTGAGGCTGTCTACAGAATATTGAGATATTTGAAGGGAAAACCTGGTAAAGGCTTACATTTTAAGAAAACTAGTGAAAGAAATGTATTTATCTGCACCGATGCTGATTGGGAAGGTTCAATCACAGATAAAAGATCAACCTCTGAATATTGTACCTATGTTTGGGGTAATCTTGTGACATGGAGGAGAAAGAAACAAGGAGTTGTAGCAAGAAATAGTGTAGAAGCCGAGTTTAGAGCTATGTCTCAAGGTATTTGTGAAGGATTGTGGATCTTTAGAGTCCTAGAACAACTTAGGATAAAAATTGAGCTTCCATTGAAATTATACTCTGATAGTAAAGTTGTCATTAACATAGCTCATAACTCAGTTCAACATGATAGAACCGAGCATATTGAGATTGATCGACACTTCATAAAGAAGAAGTTAGATTCTGGAATTATATGTCTTCCTTTTGTGACTTCAAGTTAGCAAACTACGAATATCTTGACCAAAAGTTTGGCAAGACCTACCTTTGAGCATTTGATAGACAAGTTGGGCATGATAGATATTTATGCACAAACTTAAGGGGGTGTTGAAAAATA